CACAATATATCATTTATTTTGCCTCATTTTATGGTATGAAGTGTGATTTTTGTGTGGTTCGAGTTAGAATGTTGTCATCGCATTCTCTTTTGGGTCTTTTGTGTTGCACCTTTTCAACCCTATTTTGCTGAATTCGTTTGAAATATTTTATTTTTGATGTTTGTATTTTCATAATTTCGCACCTGATTATCTTTTAATTAACTACATTTATATAATCATGATAATGAAATTGTATTGATGTCAAAAATGTGAATGTAAATTCTCAAACGAAAAACTGTCATAAAAAGTGATTACAATAGGTGATAGAAGCGTATTATTGTGGTAGTTTAGACTTCAGATCAATTATGATATGAACTAGATGCGTCTAGACGAGAAAAAAAAGAATAAAATTCAATATCCAATGACATTCGATGCTGTTTACATGATCGTAAGCTATATCATTTCCAAGGATTGTATCATTTTATTTTTCTAAACAAATGTTATCCATAAATCTGAAAAAGTCCATACATTTTAATTGTTTCAATGATGCTATTTTTTTAAAGCATTGTGATTTTTCGATTTCGATTGCATTCGAATCTATGCTGATCAACTGAAAGGTATGACAAAATATTTCTCAAAAAAGTTTATTTTTTTCTTTTGTAAATATAGTCGACCAAAATTGGATTGTGTGGTGTGTGTGTATGTGAGTATTTTTTGTTTTAATTATTCAAATATGGAAAATGCATAGAAATGTACAATTTGCATGTTTTTTGTTTGTTTATATTGCATATGATGAGACACAACCTTGAAATTTCAATTTCGATGATGATTTTAATGATTCAATAAATAATAAATGCGGAGTAAAAGCGTTGACCGTATGCTTTTAACGTGAGTACATCATAATACTTGTTTGTCTGTGCGTTTTGTTGTTGTTTACCTTTTGTGGTGTAAGTGAGTAGGGATGAAGAGAATTCAAAAAAAGCTTATAGCAGCAGAATCAAGTACATTTCACAAAATTTCGAGTGAAAAAGAAATTCCAAAAGTAATATTATGCGATTGAAATCGATAAACCGATAAATGAATTTCGTTTGGCGCTAATTTTGTTGTTAGCTTTGTATATTCACACTTAAATATATAAATACTAAAAAGAAAAAAAAGAAAGATTTCATTTAAATATATAATTACGAATTGTTCCTAATTGCGTATTTTGTAGCTTGTTTGCGATTTTAATTCATTTTAGCTTTGTGGCCCAAACTCCGAATTTCCGAAAATATTACAGAGACGACCCTACAAAAGCAGAGAAACGATTCTTTTTTTTTTCCTTATGAACCGTCTATTTTCTTTTTTATAAAGAAATCTGTATTCGATCGCCTCAAAGATCAATTCATAATAAAAGACAACACATTTAAACACGGGTGTATGGGGGAAAGTTAAACGGAAAATTATTCACTCCATTTAATCACATCATCTGATCTCGTGCCGAGTATTCGTTTCGTGTTTTATTTCTTTTTTTTTTCTTGTTAAATGACTAAATTAATATAACGAGATACATAAAACGAGAATTTTCAACGATATATATCCATAAATTTGTTTTCTTTATAATATTAATTTCTTAATTAAATGTTGAATTTGGTTTTGTTTGTGTGTCTTCATTTAAATATGTTTTATTGTTAGCAGAAGAAGCTCGAATAATAAATCTGACATTTTCGCATTATTTCATTTTGTTGTTGTTTTTAGTTTGGTTTTGTTCGTTAGGGTAATTTTTCGTTTTCACTCATTTTTTATATCTCTATGGATTTCGATAAAAATTATTTTTATTCGATTTTAAATCGGTTATTTATTTACACTGATTTATTTTTGTCATTCTCAGTTTTCAACATAAATTTTTAGAGAATATTTTGGATCAAATAATCATAATACGAGGGCGACTATTTAAGTTTCTTCAATATGTATGTTTTAGTATTGCCCGATGCAAACCATTGTCATATTCGTAAAGTTGGACATTTTTCATGACCATTTGACTTAACAGGACGAATTTTAGTTTTGTGGTATGGCCACGGTGTCAGTTGGAAAAGGTCAACTTCGCAAAAAAATGAAATTTACAAAAAAGATTATTTCTCATAAGTTTTCAAAAAGAGCTGCCTGCTCAACAGTATTACTTCCGACTCAAGTCGGGGTATGGGAAGGAAGTACCATGCCTTGCCACTGTATACAACTGGTTCACTGAATCCCATCGTCATGGTGCTCGCTACAGTGATCAATTGCGCGATGGTCCTTCGAAAATTGATGTCATCGAGAAAAACTCTGGTGCCGATTGAGTTAGGATCGAAGTTTCGTTTACAGTTAAATTGTGGTATGCCCAAGGATCACAGAGACTCCAATCATTTGGTTCTTCCATGAATTACAACATGAAAAAAATAAATCTTTACGTGTCAACCCACAGTTGCTCAAAAATCGATTGATTTTAATCACATCCAAAAAATCATAACCAATTTGACATAGGATAATAAAAACACGTCTATACGATCGCAATAGAAGCCAAGACATGATTCCAGTAGTTTGGACCTGAAACAAAAACTTGGTTGACTCTCTGAGTCTTCAAACATGAACACAATCGAACAAAAGTTGTTCGTTTGTGAAGTGATAGGGAAAATCGGACCTCATTATTTTACAGTGTTATGTGTCATGTTGCTACCATGCCTTAAGAGGATGAAAGGTCCTTCAATGCTGAATAGTACACAACCATTTGATTGTCAAAAGTCATCACGGGAATATGGAGACCAAAACTCTGAAACTTATAATCCCAAAACATGGCAAAAAGAAGCCCATCAAACAGTCGACTATTTGACCACCCAAAAGATCGAATTGATGCACAATACTCCGTGTACGAATTATTCGGGACCCCTCTGTCCACCAGAGACCAAAATCAGTTGGATACAATATATTTTTCGTACTTGAAATTAGGTGCATATTCAAAAAAGTGCACTTTTTGGAGTGTCATGTTTAAGCTGCTGTCGTAGCCATACCACAAAACTAAAATTCGTCCTGTTAAGTCAAATGGTCATGAAAAATGTCCAACTTCACGAATATGACAATGGTTTGCATCGGGCAATACTAAAACATACATATTGAAGAAACTTAAATAGTCGCCTACGTAATAATACAGAAAAACCTCTCTTTGATCGAATTTCCCTTCATTCGAAATTTAATGGAAATAAATTGTCTCTTTCTATACAAAATTAATGGAAATTAAAGCCTCCAGAAAATGAAATTAAGGTTATCCAAATTTAAAACAGTTGTTTTAAAATCGTTTTGCTAACTCTCGAACTTCATCCAATAGAATGAAAAATAAAAATGTTTTCATTGTTCTGCTGTGATTAGAATCTGATAACATCTTATTTGATAAAATAAAAGGAAAAATAAAATTTCTATAGAAGAAAAAAACTTAAGATAGAGGAAACCTGGAATCTTCTAAACATATTTTCGCAATTTTTCTCTTAACGAACATAAATTTTTTCTTTTCGTATGCCAGAAGCTTCGACCAAAGAGATTTTTAATTGTAATAATTTTTGTTTACACATTTTTTCTTGATTATTTGTTTCACATAAATTCATATCTTTTGAATGGTTTTTGTTTTTCTTTTTGTTTTAATGCACTAATAATTTTTGGTTTGAAATCATTTGTTTTCATTATATTTATTTATATGTTTGCGTATGTCTCATTTGCTCTGTTTTAGCTTACATATCATGTACATTGTCATTGTGGATGTTGCTATTGTAGTTGCACTTTAATAGTTGATTCACAATGAAAATTGCATATTCGATTTATCACAAATAAACTTGATCAAAAAAAGGAAATTTTTCAAGAGCATTATGTTCGGGGTTCGATTGCGAAATTTATTTATTTATTATTATTATTTTTGGTTTTATGTGTGTTAGTACAATCGTATTTAATTATTTAGAACATTTGTATTTTCATTTCATTTGATCGATACCGAACAATGATAATATCGAAAGGTATCATCGTATTTGCTTAATTTATTTAGGCGATCATCGTTTTGAAATTTGCATCTTTAATCGGCTATATTTTATGGATTTTACAATTTTATTTTATTTGCTTCATGAAATCTACATTGCCGCGCGTGCGACACACACACATCGAATAGAATTTGTCTGAATAAAAATGTGAGAGAAAAACAACGAAAACGCCTAATGATCACATTTTTAATAGTTTGTTCTAATAATTAGTTGATAATTTAATTTTGCGAGTGTTATTTGCCGTTGAAAAAAAAATTGTCGAATAATTTCAGATGTTTTACATCGACATAAAAATTATAATCGAGTTAATTATTGACGGAATATCATCGCCTTTATATGTAATTAATATACAAATAAAACATATCAACGTTGTCCGATGGTTTGTGTAATCCGTATAAATGTGTGGTGACTGAAAATAATAATAATATGAACATCCAATGATGATCGTGCTGGGAAGAAAAGAGTTTACAAATCGGTACTCTTTAAGCACCGAAACACTTCGACAGATAAGCCCATTAAGAACAACATTTATTTTAAATTGATTAGAATTCTTTTTTTTCCTTGGTTTTGGATTTGATTAAGACAAGATACAGACGTGGAACATGTATTAAAATTGGAAATTTCTATAAAATTTGATTTGGATGTGTAATTTACCCTAAAGAAGTACGATCTCATGTCTTTGATTAAATTGGGAATTAGATTTTTCGTCATTTCTCTACGGCGTAATTCGTTTGTCCTTTATTTACGGGCGATTTTCACTTTATTTGAAACATGTTTTGTGAATGGGTTTTATGTGCGTGTGTGATCAAAGTGCATGGAGTTCAGTCTACGGCACTAGATCCGTTAAGTCAAATGGATTTTGTATAAATATTTTCGACTTTTGTGATTTATCTCTGGTGTTTTTTGTTTTGTTTTATTTTTTTTACTTTGTTTACTTGTAAGCCTAAATGTTTAAGAAGTGGTACGCTAAATATGTAGCAATGGTTTCATGATTCGCTCATAACTAGAGATCGATATTGAGTTTATTGGTTTTTTTTTTCTTCTTCTATCTTGTTAGAATTAATTCACAATTAACTAGAATTTTTTTGTTTGGTTTGCCATTAAGTTTATCTCATCTTTCATTATTAATAAATTTCACATGTACAAACATTTTTTTAAATTATTATTATTATTATTATTCTTATTCGCATTTGCTTGTGTGTTGACTGGGAGCTTTCTTCTTATTTTTTTTTATGTGGGTCAACCATTTAATTATTTTAACACTGTATTCATTCATATAAACTAGAGCTAAATGTCGGTTTTGTGTTAACCATTATTCTTGATCGTATTATGTGTGTGGTATCGTCAAAATTTGAATTCTTTACTTCTTCTTCTTCTTTTTTTGTTTCAATATTAGATTTTAGTTCATTGTGTTGAGTGTAGCCAGCCTTACTGATAGCGCCCCATGTGCCCGTCCACACCAATCATCAAAACATAAAAACAATTTATCATTCTCTTAAATCAATAATCAATAAATAAAATGTCATATTTTTTTACAAACTTTCTAGAGTTAAGTTCCATTCACGAAAAAATAAAATTGATTAAAATCGAAACTAAGGCAATTGATAATGGGAAAAGAGGCAAACAAGTGATTCGGAATGGTGTGGCTAGCAAACTGTTTTCATATGAAAGACGGTTTTATATTTATCATCTCCAAGCAATAGGTATTAATTCGTTATAAAACCGTGAAATCAAAATGTCACAAATTTAATTCGGATAGTATGCGATCAAATGAAGTGAAATGCGAAAAAAAATAAAACAATATAAGTTCAAGATATAAGACAATCAAAATGAAAAGTAATAAAATGTACAGGTTCTTTTCAATTGAAATAATACCATGTTGCATGTACCAATATGCAATGTAATGCAATTCGAAGAAATTTATTTGAAAAAATTTATTTGACTTTTATTTTTACGATTGTTTGGCTGAGACTGTTATACTTTGATTGATTTTTGTTGGTATCTTGAGAACAGGATATGTTATCCTCGTTGCTTGTCATTTAAAAATGATAAATTGTGTTATCTGTACCAACAGCAAAATCAGCGACGGCGGAATCGTTGTATGGTACGTCCGCGTTTCGCAATCGCAATTTTCTCAAAACAAAATAAATGTTTCCAATAATTTTCTGATACACTGTTTGGATAAATTGTATTACATTGCATATAGAGAATTTCTCCGTCGTTCATATGTACGAATAAGGGCCATCAGTTAAGGCGCTACACAGCAACAGTCAGGAGTTATCATCTTTATTCGAACCACCACCACCTACACCGGCGCTCTGTGTATTCACATTTGTTGCACGACGCACTGACGGCGGTTTATATTCCAAACCCGGATCGAATTGCATTAGAACGAAGACCTGTATCAAAGAGAATGAAAGATAAAAGAAGTAAACATAAGCTTGAAAAAACACCATCTTGCTCCATTTGTCGAACAAAATATTACTTGATCGGTTGGCAGTAGCGAAAAGTCATCCGGAGGATTTGTGATTACGTATCGTTTGCTACTTGCATCACAACTCGAGCTAGTGTCTCTAAATCTGTACAAGCCTATACATAGCATGCCATAAGATTTTAAAGCCGCTACAAAAAGGTCACCGTATTTTCCAGCCTCGCCAAACTGAGCCAGCGGTCCGTCGTACAGCGATATTTGCCCGACTCGACATCTACAATGGAATTTAATACCAAAAATAATTTAATCATTTATTCGTATACAATGCAATGGTCGATGATTTATGGTCGCCGTTTACCTGTCTCGATTGCTTAAACTATCTACAGTACTATAACCACCTCTAAGACCAGCACCTTCAGCCAATATTAATTCCAGTTCAGGTGTTGCACCACCCGTAATTAATGATCGAATTAATGTTAAGGCGTTTTGATTAAAGTAAGTCTGTTTGGGTTTGTTCCACATGCAAGGATCGATACAGAATATTGTGTAAATTAAATGAAAGCAAATTTATTTTCAAATCATACATTACCGTAGACATTAATGAATCTAATACGCTAACGGCAAATGCTGTACCACAAGCGAATGGCTGAGTTAAATATAGTTCTGTATCCGGATCATCGTCATCGTCTTGATCTAAGAACTGTACATTACTATCGTTAACTAATTCTAATGGATGAGAATGAAAAAGGGATTTTGTTTAAAACATGAACATTTTGTACAATGGCAATTCCTTCATATTTGCCTGTAATCATCGGAACATTTGCTCCATAGACAGAGCCTCTTCTCTGTAAAACTATTGGACTGCCTGCTGTATTCATGTTATCAAACTCTGGACCGCGTTGACTTAAAACGCCTGAAACGATAATCGCAAATACATTTGATCAATTCATTGTCGTCGTTTATCCCATGCAATGTTATTCATTTTTACCTATTGTATCATCAAAGGTCATTGCTTTGATGTTAAGTGATGCTAAAATTGCTTCTTTATCGGCCAACGTTGGATCATCGTTGCTGGGCACTTTTGCTGACAATATGCAACACATATCACATAAATTTACATTAACAGCACGTAAATCAGCTCGGCTCAATGGCGATCCATTCAGTACAGATATTTTTGGTAAATTTTGTAGCATTTTCCATTCGCGTCGAATGTAATCAACCGAACCAACAATTACTACATGTTTTAGCTCATGATAATGAAAATTTGATGCACGCAATGGCATCACCAAATTTCTCAGTCCAATCAATGGTGAATCGGGATCGGCAAATAAACACACAACAACATGACCATTAAGTACCGTCATTGCTGCTTGATTACGATCCTAAACAAACAAACAAACAAAAAATAGTTGTGAATTTGAACTAAAAATAAGGTTTGGTTCTGTTCACTTACCAAAATACAATCTTCCAAATTTCGGGCAGGACTCCAGTGAAACATCCCAGTTGAATCGTATTTCATTTCGGTTTTCTCAAAATCGAAATCCTTTGATTGATCATCAGCAATGCCAGCTGGCATTGAAACACCATTGCCCTGCTGTGTTCCAGATCCACCGCCACGACTCGTTGGCCTTCATTACGAAAACAAAATAACAGTTTCATCCATTAGTGAAGCAAAACAAAACCATACTCACATACATAGCATTTTGCTACGAATTTTCGACTGAGTGCATGATGACGGTGATAAAAGTATTCACATTCACTACATATTCTATGTGTTTATGTGGATTTTTGGATAGATTTGCCAAACTACGTACGTATTTTCATTTATATCAACATTTTCAAATAAACTTTTATGTAAATAATAAAAAGGATTTGAATTTGATTTTTTAACCAAAAAAGACAACAAGCAATACCGACCAAAAGAGTTTGGTTTTTAAAAGTTTGATGTGCAGCTTAAATAAAGCATTCGTTTTCGTATGTGTATGAGAATAAATGAACAATTTATAAAATTAAAAGCAATTTTCATGCATTGAATATACGCTACAGCTTAAATAAAACAACATATTTTCAGCATATACAAGTTGAAAAACAAAAACCGAGAAATAAACACTACATTAGAAACGACTCGAACAAAAGTCAATTCAATTGTTTAGATTGTAATGTTAGAGAGTAAATTAAAGCATACATGAGTTTTTTCACTTCATAAGCAAGTTGATATCCCGCATATGGATTTGCTTCAGGTTCCGTAGGTCTGAAAAATGTCATGTTATCAATGGACACATTGGTTTTTGTTAATTAATTATTGGTTTTTTTTTCTCGTTCTGTTTCATTTTTTTTCTCCTACACCCTGGTTTTTGTAAAGCTAAAATTATTTATAATTCTCAAACCAAACACAAAAAATCGCAACACATTTGCAGAATTGAAAATAAAACAAACTGATGAAAATGAGCTGATAGATGACATGTTCAATTGAAATATTTCAATTCACTTCTTTTATGATAAGCGCAAATTAGGAGTTTTAAAATTTTGTAATTCACAATGATATTTGATGGTGATGGATCATCATCAGAACTGAATACAATCACAATGATAATGATGGAATGACTTAATCGGAACATGATAAGATGATTTTAATCATACATGGACAAACTGGAGCCTAGATTAATCCCTTCGGATTGTCCGAGCTACCGGGAGATCTTTTGAACATTTTGAAATTGAAGCATTTTTTTGCTCTTCAACTTTCAACACCCCTCTCCCCCTTTAAATTCTGAAACGTGCCCATGTATGATTTGGTTGACAATGACGATTTGTTGTCAGTTGAAATCAGCACAAAACAAAATTGATGGCAGAACTCAAAAAAAGAACTCAACATTTGAGACTTATTTCAGCGCATTTCATTGAATTATGAGAAAGAAAAAGAGATAAAGAGCAGACGGTACATACCTGTTATACGTTGATGGTGAGACTGCATTATCTGGAGGTTGTCTATTTACATTTGGTTTGACTTTGTTAACTTGTTTTATGGAATTCACTTGCATATTGGCCGATTGTTGCTGTTGCTGCTGTGCTCCAATCTGTTGTGGCTGTTGTTGCGCGTTAAGTTGTTGCGATGAACCCGTAATACCACCATTTGATCGTCGGTTTCGATTAATTACTGGAAAATTATAAACAAAACATTTCGTTTTATTGAGAAAATCATAACAAAAATTGGCATTTGAATTAGTCTAAAGCAGAGCATACGATCGAACTTGTGAAGCAACGTGCACCATCTCAGCAGCGCTTAATCAAGTTTTCAACATTCATATTAGTATAATATAATATTGAGATAGAGGCTCACACCTATACAACAGTAATCACACTAACGGTACAACTATTAAGCACCCGCTTCATAAGCTACGATTTCATACTCGCGGTTTTAAGCAAAATAATCAAAACTTATCACTTACAGTTAATATCTTCCCGATCTCTAGTAATGTCAGCTGCAATTGGTTTAGTTGGTTAGAAACATTTTCTTTGAAACGGAAAACTTGAATTTTTTTAATTATATTTTATTCTATTTGGTGCACATCGATATGATTTGTTGTTCTTAGTTAAGACAATTCAAACACTATTCGAAATATCATGTATTTGTGATCGATCAAAGCGTTTGAATTGCCTTCTTTTTATGCACTGTTTCATATTGATTTTTTAGTGAAAATACATTTAGGTTTTGTTTCTTTGTACAAATGAAAACCGGAGATGAACAAAACAAAATTTAACCAAAAAATAGCAAATAAATTCCATTGGATAGAAGGGCATGCAGTATTCTAATGATATGATTCTGTAACGACTACATGGGTAAATATTTCGAAATGAATGTGTGAATTGATTTAGAAAATGAATGGAAAAAAAAGAAGCAAAACTGAAATCGAAAAATGTGATGATAGTTATTAGGGGTGAAATACGCCCGATGCATATATGATTCAAATAAATAGCAATTTCAACATCAATACGGAATAATTATAATTTTGATACAGAACAATGAACATAACGTCTTGACGTTTTTTTCTTCTTCAGGGTTGGGTATTACGTAGCACAATTACGATCAGAGGATTCTTTTTACAAACACAGACTCGTCAAAGTAACACATCACGAAATAGATTACTTTGGATTATAGATAATTTGATATTACGCACAAAATACGATTATATTCATAATATTGGGGGAAGGTGCACGCATTGATATTTATATTTTAAAAAAAAACGAAAAAAATTCCAACAAAAATAACTGCAGTGTATATGAGATTGTTTTGTTTATTTTCATACTTATTAAAGTATACGGATATATATTCGCTCTGTTTTGAATTAATTTCAGTTGCTATTATTTGAACTTAATTCTTTTTAATTAGAAAAAAATCAACTTAAAATTATGAACTGAACAATGCACATATATTTTTTTTTTACTCAATCAAAAGATTTCGTTTGTTGTAAATGAAAGGTATAGATATAGAATTTTAAATGTGGATATTTGGTGTGAGAAAAGTATACATGCGGGATACATATATTCCACGAAATATTTCGTCGATCGATTTTATTTTATAGGAAAACGACGTTTGAAAACGAATGTTCCATTTGTGACAGACACTTTGAATATTTAGTTTCTTTTTGACGAAGACATATTGAGGACTAATTCACAAAACAAATTTGGATGATTGAATAAGCGACTACAAAATAATATTAACCGAAAAAAGAGCTGAAATGTTCAATCAATTTCAAAATTGAAAAAAAAGTTTAACTCAATCTTTACTTTTGCATGAATGGTACGTAAAAACGAAAATACATTCGAATGAAAAAATGGATAAATTCGTGACTAAGCTGTTGCGAAACCATCGAAAATCCAAACAGAGAAAATAAAAAGAACACAATTTTCCATTCTCTGCTCAGAATTTGAGCACATTAAAAGAGACTCATTTAGACAGCTCATCTGTGAATATTTCAAAAAATATACATATACACAAGTCAGTAATGTGCGAGCTACATTTTACAGGGGGGGGGGGTGGATTTTAAAAAAACAAAAAATAATCAAGTGAATCAGACAAATTTTTTTTTTTTTTTTTTTTTTTGAAGTCACTTTTTGAGGCGAAAATCCCTAGCAAATCGAAAGAATTTTCTCCGCGAAAAACCTCAGCAAATCGGAAAAAAATCGGAAAAAAATCTCTCGGAACCAAAAACCTTAGCAAATTGAAAGAATTCTCCTCAATTTTCTACATTGATGAGCTAAAAAAAAAAAAAAAAGGTCTTCACTTTTTTCGTGAAAAACCCTAGCAAATTCGAATCATTTTCGCGAAAAAAATTTGTCCCATCCAAATCACAGGGGGGGTTAACCCTTCCCCCCCCTTCGCACATTACTGACACAAGTACACCGTCAAAATGATTCATTTGTCAGCTAAGAAGTTTCCTTCACCGACCACGAAAAAAAAAAAAACAAAGTGTAGAACAATTCAAAATCGTTGGATAATCAAAAAGCAACAGAAAATAAAAACAAAACGAAAAACATTGAAAATGAACAAAAAAAGGAAGTTGATGCCAATAAACAAGAACTGATGAAACAAGGTGAACGGTTGTTTGGCTTGATTTGTATGTGACAATGATTTTCAAAATGTTTTACCGGCAGTGACTCCGCGCATATTTTCGCGCACATGCACCCGTTTTGGAAGTTCTGGAGGAGTAAATGTAGGCGCGGGATGATGATCATCTGAAAGATTGCACAATAGTTTCATTTGACACATTCAGAACAAACGAATGCTCGGTAAATTTGTTTAAATATTGTGTGGTTTTTTTTTGTTGGTGGTCCATCTAAATTCTTGCAAATAAATATGTGCTCTAGTATAAATCGCAAAAAGCATATTGAAATATTCATTCGGATGTCGTGAAATTGCGTCTGGTTGACGAGAATTTTGGAAATGGGTGAAAAGAACGAAAACACTACAGACAATGTAAATAATAAATTGGTCATAGTGAAGCGAGAGAGACAGAGATTATTTCTAGAGTGAGTGGGTGAGAAATAAAAATTCTACACGCAGAGTGATAGAAACACAGAGAGAGAGAGAGAGAGTGATTGTCTTTGTATTGTACAGAAAGCACCTAGACATGGTGAAAATCGTCTCTCACAGAAATAGTAAATTGAGAAATTGAATCAATCACATGAAATGAATGTTGGTGTGCTTCCAATATATTATGATTGTTCTCTAGTGTTTTGTTGGTTGCTGTTTTTCTTTTTTTGCAAAAGTGCATTTATTTTGAGTTCTAATTCAAGCAAAACAAATATTACTATGTACAAAATATGCAGTGACATGCTGACGATAGAAAAGGTCATACAATAATAAAATATGCACTTGAAATGAAGAGAAAATCATGCACATTCACATTGACAATAACAATATACATTGCATCTTATGGGACAGTATCTTAATATAACAATTCGCAAATTTTACAGTTTGAATGACAATGTTTGACGGTTGAACGTTTTTTTTTTTGTCATTCGGTAATATATTTGTTTTGTGGTTTAAGATGAATTACGGCTTATGATGAAGGTGTTTATTTCGTTTCGATTTTTTTTTTAATTTAATGGAAAAATGAAGAGTGTTGTTTTGATATTTACAGAACGAATATTTTTTGTTTTATATGTACAAATTTTGTGAGTGTGGTGTTATGAGGTGAATGTATTTGTGTGTGTGTCTCGGTGATTGTATGAATATTTGTGTATTCTTGTAGTGCTGTGTGAAAAATTGATTTATCTTTTTATACGGTTTGCCCTGTTCACTTTGGTTTTCGGTATTTGCGAATCCGAAACACAAACAAACAAACAAACTGAAATAGAAAAAAATTCTTATTCAATTTTTGTTTTATAAGCTGAAGCTTTTCTCATTTCTAAATCTCTAAGACACGTCTTATTTTCTGATAATCTATGATATTCTGTACGCACATTCAAGCTATATAATCTGTTTGTTTTTTTCGTGTGGCTACGAGCATTGATTTTATTTTATTTTTGATTCACCAAATAAGCCAGTGCTTGTTATTTTTATTCCATGTAAATATAGTCTAAATTTGATTTCAGTTTAATCACAGTTTTGTGGCAAAAATGGGCTGGTGAATGATCGACACTTTTAAATTTCATACTTTCAAGATTGCGATATTTTGTTTCTTTCTTTAGTTTTTATTTTCTGTACTAATAAATTTCATTTTTGTTCACACGAAAGCATTTTACCCTTAACAATTCATAAAATCAAATTCATTTCTTTTATCAACGAAAAAGAATTTTTTTTTTAAACAAAATACACAAATCATTTTCCTATTATCTTGCTAAGATTTTCTTCTGGTATGAGCTGCACGAACAATGAATTTGAACATGTGTTTAAGCAACATATATATTATATGTATTGCACATTGAGTATAATTTTCATACGGTACAAAAAAAAAAAAAAAACACAATATATAGATAGGGGCATTTTCAATGCCAGAACTTACTTGGTAACAAGTTGTCATCGTCTTCTTGGCCGCAAATATTTATTTTTATTTTATTGGGTTTTATTGATTGCGTTTTTTTATAATTCGCATTTGGTAAATGTGTGTTTAGTTTGTTTGGTTTTTGTTTTGTTTTTGCAATCGGTAACATTCATTTCAAACAAGGAATGCAGATCAAATTAAATTGAAAGATGGGAAACAAGAGTACAGAAGGCAAAAGAAAAAAACAAATTATGAAATTTACTTTTATCATTTTTAAATTGTAAATGTTATTTGTTTTCATTGTATTTGCTACATAAAAAAAAAAAAATTGGAAATTTGATTGTCCGCCGAATTGATTCGTATCAACGTCGAGAGGTATCAGTTCTATGAATGTTTGAACGTCCGTAAAATGGCATCCAATGGAAGACAACCAAGCATCGACTTTCAATGAAATCCCACATACTTTGGAGTTGATCTTTCGTAATGAAAGTACGTTTCAAGAAATTTACTTTCTCAACAGAATTTCGTTACTTTTAATTCCAACGGAATTCCAGGTGATTTTGCTTTTAAATCCGGTCAACTGTCATCAACAGCTGAAAAAAGGTAGGATGTTTGGGATTTTGTTTGAGACTTCGAAGAAGATATCTATTAACGAATCTAACGAAAATTCCGGATTTTTTTTTTTTCACTGATAAGTAGCCTTATACCCGTTGATAACTCTACTTGCATATCACATTCCAGATTTCAAAACAAAAACAAGACAAGAAATTAAGATGAAATCAAACGAAAAAAATTAAACCAAACTAAGAGACATATTTTTCCCCGATGACATAGAACAAAAATGGCGTCAATTTGTAGACTATACCTAAATATATTCTTTTTAAATCTAAACTTTGGCTATTTTGTGTAAGCTTTCTTTCTTTCTTTTCCATCATATCAAAGTTGTTCGCAACATAACATGAGATTACTCAAATAAAAAATGGTGTGAATATACATTTGTAGGCGAAAAAGTTGCCTTGGTTGAATGTGCACGGGTGCATTTTGATCTCGGATCTCTTGTCAGAGATACATCGAGTTTCTTTGATTGCAAAATATTGCGATTATTGTGCAAACAGTTTGGGTTTTGTTTTGTGTTAGAGTGTGGTTACAACGGAGTAGTTATAATACACAGAGATAGAAAGAGAGAGAGAAAAAAAACACAGGACAGAAGTGATGACAATACGGTTGACTCTCTTTTGTATTTCAGCAGAGATTTTTGTGATGGTATTGCATATATATACTTATTTTTTCATGGCGAAAATTAATTCATTAATTAATTGTTACTTCTTACATATAAATTCGTATAAAAATTGGATAACATTTGTTTTTTATTTTCATTCGAATAAAATGCAACTAAAACAAGTTCAAAAACCGAACGAAAAAAATGAAATGAGAAGAAATCTGCTCTAAACAAACATAAGAGGAAGAACGAAATGGTGAAATTCCTTCCAACGACACTTGGTTTATATAAATACCCGACAAATGGTGGATTAAAATCAAATGAATTACTTGACAATCAACATTAAGTAGACAATGGTACGAACTTAGACAAAGAACATACTACACAAAACACACAACGAATTGTTCGGATCTCTCCGTTAAATTTAATATTTCATTTTTCTTTCATTCTTTTTTTAATAAAGAGAAACGAACTTAACGAAAAAAGTTTATAATATAAGAGATTTTTTTTTTAAATATATATATACGAAAGAAAATCCTCTTGTCGAAAGACTCACAAAATCAACAATAAACAAGTGATCTGGAATATTTAATAAAAAATATTGTGTTTACGAATACGAATAATAAACAAACTCACACAACATATTACATATTCAACAGTGGTTCAACAATATGTTCTTTTTTTCTTTTCTTCATTTTGGATATATAAAAAATTAACAACAACAAAAGATGATAAATTACGAAGAAACGGTGAAAACACACAAAAAACTAAACGAAAAAAAAGTACAAAACTTATTTCTCATCATACAGAAATTTCAAAACATAAATTATAAGGACATCGAAACCCAACAAAAAACAATTTCAAACAAGGTATATTCATCCGTGAATCAAACAAAAAATTAATTTTAATTACGTCTAACCTGAGAGAAAGAGAGACAGACAGACAAAATACAATTTTTCTAACGAAGTGGGAAAATAATCAAAAACAAAAAATCACAAAATCCATTTTCAAAATGAAAAAGCGATAAAACGAACAAACGAAAAATTGACATTAAAATGTGACTGTTCAACAGTTAATTTTTGCATAGCAAATGGTTATTCGCATCGCGAGTTCGTATTTATGAATCACACAGATTCTCTAATGTTCAATCACGCGACGCTTTTACTATTTTGCATTTAAATTGTTTAATTAGTCTGCTTACACAAATGAAAAATGTACATCAAAAAATATCAATAAAAATATAAATGAAGACGTAAACAAAGACAACGAAACAAAAAATTTCAATTTGGTTTTCTTTGTTTGGATTCATTTCAATGAGATACATACTTGCTCGTCCAACCATTTGTACGGCTCGGACGCCTTTCCTGAACGTGGCCACTGTGGTGATCGAAAAAACAACAAAATGAGGTAATAAAAACGGAAACCATAAAACAAATGCGATAATGTTAATGTGTTTGGGCGACATTGAGGTACAGCAATTAGCTAGAGGTTTTACAAAAAAGGTTGTTTTTTATAATTTTGCTCATTTTCTAAAAAATTTCATTCTTCGCTAATTTTTTTTATCTTTTTGTATTCACATTTATCCATTAGTACCGATTTCGTTAAACAACTATTATAATCAAATGAGTAAAAATATTATTTTTTTTTTTCACATATCCTATCCGTTGGAAAGTTAATTTAGAGCAAAATTGTTTGATTTTACTTCTTTGGTTCCTGCTTTCACAAAAAACAAATAAAACGTACATACCAAAACTGGTTTAACACTTATGAATGTATAATACAAACATGTATATATTTTCCTAGCAATAAAATACTTGGCACTTACTGACTACTGCAATACCCTGGGAGCGTTCTGCGTTTTACAGGCTTCAACTCAGATTGCGACTGGATTAAGATTAGCTTATATAGTGTGATATATCCCGTGTGGTGTGTACAAACATTTAACAAAGTAGCACAAAATGATTAAACGAAAAGAAAAGCCCAGACTTAAAACCCAACAAACACTTCCGTCAAATGGACATTTTCGTAAGTGTAATGGTTGATTGTTTTGCTTAATTTTGTTCTTATTCATTCCTTGACGGGGGATGCATGAATATGAATTTTAGAAAAGGCTGTTTGATCCGCTCAAATGAATTTCAAAGTGCATTTTTACTTTGTATTCATGGAGACAGAACTAAAAAAGAGGGAAATGTATTTTCCAAATGGAAACAAATAATACAAATTGAGAGACATTGTAGAGCGCAGACGGTGTAATTATGCAAATCCACCGAACAAGAAAAGCACAAATCATGCGGCTTCTTGATGATTTTCGCATTCATCACAAGGCCAAACACATTCGTGCATTTGCACGATAATGAGGATATACGATTTTTGTTTTAATTTTGCCAAAGCAGCACATTGATTCATGGGTATTTCATTCATTTCAAAGGAATAAATCATTTGTTCCTAATTAAAAAAAAACATTCTAGACTGAAAATAGCGACAACATTGATTTCAACGGGAAAAATGGACGTGCAACGAAGTAATGTGTGACATATATTTTATATGTGCTTCTTTTCTGATCAAATTCGAATTCAAAATATTTATTTACAGCCATATTGAGACTTTGGAGATTTTAACACACAATTACATCGTTCAGGCACCCATTTTCAAGTGATTTCAAAATTGCAATCGGGATGCTGCTGCTGCTGCTGCTGCGGCGGCGAAGGCGGCGGCGATTAAATATCTTTGTTATTTAATAAATGTATTAGCGAATTTAGCGACAAATATTCAGTGTAATGCGCATTTACGAGCGATACAATATAAAATTAAACATAGAGAGAAAAAGCGTTGAGTTTTAAATAAACTCGAGTTGGAAAAGCTTAATTTAGCTGGCACAGCACATGTACATACATTTTCACAAAAAATTGTTTTCAATTGCCAACATCCAAAACGAAAGAATAAAACAATTAGAGAATATAAATTTGCTTGTTATTTGCATTGATTGCGGATTAGGATTTAATAGACAATTATCTATGTTAAGAGAGATCTGTTTTGAGTGATATATATTCGTACCGTCGATGTATGTGTGACAGGCTGAATTCAGACCGTGTTTAACCATTCCAGTTTGCATCATAATCATGCCTACATCTGAAAATGGGGGCAAATCGATTGTGCTGTTTTAATTGTATTTTTTTTTTATCTAAGTCTAAATTTTCATTTAAAAACAATATTGCATTTTTTGATTGTCGGTTGGTTACATTCTTTTTTTTAAGTAATATATTCTGCTTACAAGAAGCATAATATTTCTATATATTTTTTGCTGTTGCTATTTAAAAAAAATACAAACACTGACAAACACACACTTGAACCGATGAACATTTCGGTTTTTTGTTTACTAAACTATCTGTAGGCAGTGGTTGTTATTATGATTGTTGTTTGAATTACACGCACACCAAATGCGGGCTCCTAATGAGTTTCGGATTTTTTTTTTTTAATTTTCTGTGCAATTTTTCAAACACCTCAAAATTTCATATGCAAAGCAAATTCGCTCAATAAAACTATTTAAAAAGAAAAAAAAAAGAACAGAAAAATGCTTCAAATCAGATGATATATCCAACGACAAGATCAAAAATGCCTCGATTTCGTTAGTGTCGTACAGTTAGTTGTTGGATAAATATATGTCTTCACCCAGGGTATTTCAGTAATTTAGATTACGTGTACGCTTATCTTCAATTATGTAATATTGATGCGATTGCTATTGTATCGCCATTCTTAAGAATAATAATAAGTTTACAAATTCACCAGATGAATCGATGGATGTAACATCAATTCCACTCTCGTCTGAAATTACTTTGATATACCGAGATTTATACCGAGATATTAAAAAAAATTATTTTTGTTTTTTTATCTTTTTTTTTTAAATGTAAAATGAATAATCTACCGTATGTCTGTAGGTGTAATAGTGTTTTGATAATAATTTTTTTTACAAAAATTGCATTAGTTTTAAAAACAGAAGGATTTTTTTTGGAAATATCAACTGAACGTATTAATTTATGATTATGCTGTCTGAACGTATTAATTTTATTGAAAGAAAAGAAAATTTGTATGTGATTTTGTTGTTTCATTCTGAATTAGATTTCAGTTGATTTTAAAATTTAAAATTAAGTTATCATTTTAAAAAAAACATGCTCAATTAAAGCGGTTTTGTGCAGTTGTAATTTAAGATAAATGAAACATAGTTTGATCCATGATTTCGGTTCTATTCGATTTGGTTCGTTTAATGATTGTGGATAGCGACATATTTGGAAATAGAATTTTTATGACATTTTTAACGTTGGATACCAATCCAATTGATTTTGTTTTAAAAAAAAACGTTCATGCAATCGAACGGCTCGAGAATCATGGTCAATGGACATATGCGAATGTGTATGTGTATGTACCGGTGTGTTAAAAATACGTCGGTCACCGGTTGCAAAAGGAATATTGTAATATAAACTATAGTTAAATGTATCTAAAAAAATGTATTTATAAATGGAAGAGGGAAAGAACAGAGAGCAACAGACAGAGATAGGAAAACCAAAGTTCCTTGATAGATTATTGTTTTGGCAGAAAGGAATATATATATAGAGAGAGAGAGAAGAGAAATAAAAATATTTAAAACAAAACTCAATCCATTATTATTGTATATATTATATTTATATGTATCATATCGACTGGATTAGCACAATTTTTCAATTAAATCAAAATTATATGTCTATCTCATGATTTATGTACATATATTTTATGGAAAGCAGAAGAGTCATGATGCATGATACATCAGACGGAAATGGATCTTTCAAATCAAATGCAACAAAACCGAATAATGCAAAATACAATGATTTTACTTTAATATTTCCAAATTTGTTATTACTGCCAATTATTCAAAGATTTAAAGAAATAACACAAAGTTGGCATAAAATTTCGTGAAAAAAAAGAAACAAGAAGAGATGCCTAATGATGAATTTGGTCAAAAAAAATTTTATTTGGTCGTTTTATTTTATGGATGTGTATATGTGGCAGTAAAATGTCAGTCGAAAACTTTAATATAAAAAAATATGAAAAAATCTACACAAATATTATAGATATTCAAGTATGGATAAAGGAATGTGATAGATTAAGATTATCGTAAAATTAATAAAAAAAATTCATATAATTTGATTGGTTTTGAAAAAGAGATGCACCAATCGAAATGTTATATATATATGAGAGAGAGAGAGACTGGGATTTTTTGTTTACCTAAATCACCGAATTTATTCCTGGGTTGAGCAGTCACTGTATTGATTGACATTTTTGAATAGTTTTATGTTTTTTTTTTTTAGATTTTTTGTGATTGTTCAGTTTTGATTTATTTTGATTGGTTTTGGTTGTGTTTAAATTGTAGTGTGATTTGAATTGACGACACACCCCAAAAGAAAAATATTTAATAAATAAATATTAGAAGAATATTGTTGTTGATATTATATAAATATTTAGCTAATTTAATTATAAGATTATATATTTTTGTTGTTGGTGGTGCCGTTATTGAACTAAATCGCCTTACGCCTTAAACTTATTTGAAGACTCTATTATTAATTTATCTTTGATTAAAATAATATTGTTCAAGAATGTGTGTTCTCTTTATATAGACTTTTTTTCCTTTTTTTTAAATGGAAATTCTTTTCGTTTTGCACCTTTTATCTTTTCACAAAATGAAAATAATTTCAAATCAGTTTTTGTTTTTTTGTTGAATCGCTATTGTTCCTTTTTCTTCTCTCAAATAATCAATATTTTTCATGAAAATATCAAAATCAGAATTCAGTACAAATATAATTCTAAAAAAAGTGGATTCAAGAAAAAAAAAACTTTAATTTTTGGTGAATCTTTTAAATTTTGAAGAAATTTTGAATTGAATCCACTTTTTTATTATGCAAGTTTATTACTGGTTTGATTCACGTTGAGGCAAATCAAGTTCCAATTTTAAACTCGCATACCAAACAAAAACCCTAGAAAATTTGTTTCATAGAAGTATGTTGGATAGTACTTACAATTTTTACATTTACACTTTTTGATTAACGTTTCGTCTTTTATGTCATCGTGACAGGCTTTACAGTAAAACCAAGCGCTGAAATAATGCAAAATAACAAAAATAATTTGTGTTGAAGTATTTTCGTACTTGCAAATTGAATGAAAAATTTACCGTTTTACTTCATCGGCACTTTGAGCTATGAAAAATCCTTGTGTGTTCGCTTGTATCTTAGCACCACGTGGATTTATGGAAATTTTGCTATCGGCACCTTCTTCCGTACCTTTAATCTCAATGGCCAATAAAAGTAGCTTTAATTTCGTAAAGCATAATCTGATCGAGAACGTAGGTAATGCGAAATAACAAAATACAAACGATTAGAATACATGAATTTACACAATTGCTTTTGGGTAAGTTGAGAATTCTATCTAAAAAAACACACAAAAGAAAACAATACAAATTTTTAGACACCACAGTGTCTAAATTTCAGATTTATACAGTATAATTTCATCTAAAATGAATAGTTCAACCAATGCTTCACTGTATAAATCCAAAATGTTGACTCTACAGTATCAAAAAATGTCTATCATTTTCTTTGCGTGAATCGTATTGGAATGTGTCTGCAAACAATTTTAAAGCAAATGAACTGTGTGAATATGTATCTTAAATGGATCGAAAGCAATAAAAAAAGGGGATACATTGAGCAAAACCAAAAAGAAAACATAAACAAAACAACAATGAAAGAACATGGAAACAAAGCGAGAAAAAAGATAACTGTAACTATGTGTACAAGAAAATTTAAATAAAACGAAAGATAGAGATCACTTTGTGAACTGTAATTAATGAGCAAGTCAATGTCGTAACTAGTTGTTCCTATTACAGTTTTGTTTTGTTGCACATATATATAAATTAAGCGAATAGAATGTACAAAATCATGTGGTTCAATTGTTTTTTTTTTTTATTAATTTTTATTAAAGCTGCATTAAAAACGTAGATAAAAAGGAAATAGTATGTGAATCAAGGGAAAATAACCTGATGAATAATGAAAATAGCAATTACTGGTTAATTCATCTGATTAATTCATATGTGTGGCTGGGAACAATAAAACTTGATTTAACTTCAATTTAAAGCTTTTGTTTTTGTTTGGGTAATTTGCCAATTTATTTGGTTTTTTTTTTTTTTTAATATATGTACCAAATTGAATAATTTGTTTGTCATTTATTTATTCTGTTTTACTTAAATTGCAGTGCATGCTTCGTATAATGTAGATTAAGGTCAATTCCGATCAAACGAAAGACATCTCATGCAAAATCGATTTGCAATGCAAATAAAATATTCAACAAAGGCATTATTAATAATATATAAATGTGTCAAGTATGATATACTTTAGGCTGTGATAATGAATTAATTGTAATTTCAACAAATGTGTGTCTTCTAATATGTTCAGTTCAATTAATATATGTACCAGAAGTAATATCATCACAATTATGTACACAAATACACAACGATTTAGGAAATGCGATAAAGGTATTGTTCATTTTTTTAAAGCAACAATTTGAGATGATTTCTTGAAAATGGACAGTGATACATATCCTTTAAATTTTGCCTTTACTCTAGTTCAATGACACCTAACGTTCTGTACTTATAATATTCTTTTTTTTTAAGCCAGTGCATCGAAATTAGTAGAGACATTCGTATCTCATACAAATGACAATAGTTGAGAGATTCAGCGCTATTTTTGATTTTATTCATTCTGTTTATTGAGAGAAAGTGGATTGGTATGTGTGTCTTACGTTAGGGGACAATATGTGCTGACACACACAAGATTACTGGTTAAAAGAAATTCGGAACATTTTAGACATTGAATTTTATTTTCACACATAAAAAATAAACAAAGCGTCTATATATGCAAAGAACACAACGAATTAGTAAAAGCATGTTAATATATAAAAAGCTTAAGCTTTGGTGTGCTGACATTCAAAAGCTTTCAGTCACTTCTATTTGGTATCGTTTGAGAAAAAAAAAACCTTTAACAAAAATATTTCCTGTTTTAAATAGTAACAGAGAAAAAGAGACTTAGAATGGCAAATTGCACCAAAATTGAATTGGATTCATAAAAACAAAGATCATCTAACTATTGAATGAAATTTGAAAAACCTTAAAAAATGAGTGAAACGGGCATTCGCTTTGAAAAAAAAAAAAAATATGTTCGATGTCTGCTACTTTGATTTGATGACAGAAAATGTATGCGTTTTTTTCTCAATATGGAAAAATACTTCAATTGGTAATTAAAGTTCGTTCATGTTTGCATTTATGGCAACGTGATTATAAAGTCGAATAAAATATAAATATGTTTTCATTGAAAAAATTGGATATATATTCGGAAAGACAAAAAAATGCAGTTCAAATGTCAAAATAGTTTGCTTGTTCTGTAATAGTTGTTGTTGTTGGTTTTTAGTTGTTTGTTTCAGTTTTTATTTTTCAAAAAAAAAAGAGATAGAAACAAAATAAAACGAAAAATCAAATTATACAAAATACTAGTACAGTTAGTGGGTTTGTGTTTTGAGAGTGTGTGTGTTTGTGTGACTAAAGGTTCTTACTCGCTGGCTTGCGGGAAAGTCATGCCAGTAAATGAAGGTGATAAGGTTTCAGTGTACATCTCACATCCTGTACCCTGTAGATAATCGTTTTGCCATGCCTGCGTATCTGGCGACTGTAAAATAATAACCAAATACCAAACAAATTTTTTTTGGTTTAGGCCCGATATACTTTTACTGAATAGTTTGATAATTGTTTAAATCTTCGTTTTTTGTTTTTGGAAAAATGCTATGAATTTTACACTTTGGCTGTGCAATTTTTTTCTTCCAAATAAATCAATCAATTTTATTTTCATTTCAATTATGTTATAAATATTGTCATTTATAACAAACTAATTACGCAGACGCGTCATTGAATCATCCAGTTTAACAGCATCAAAAACTCAAAACCCATGTCTATCTGATTAATTTACTAACGATTCGAATATCAAACGTCCATTCTTATGACTTAAATACGAATGTTGTGGAAATATCATTATCAGTTTTGGGAAATATGTTAGTATGAAAAAAAAAACTTTCATCCAAAAGGTGCTCCAATAGGTTGCCTCTGTTGATTGCCACATATTTTGGCTAATAAAAAAATTATTTCTAAAAAATGCGTAAAATTCTAGTAGAACTATTCTACCGAAAACAAAAGGAAAAAAAAAAACAACTGAAATTAAAACGTCTCGCTGTTGATTAAAAACATTCCCTATTCACTTAGAAAATTGACATTGAAATGGCTAAAGATATTTTAAAATTTTATTTTTTTTATTTAAATAAATTTTTTAAAAAAAAAAAAAAAAAAAAAAAAAAAAACAAAACATTGCGGCAGCAAAGTAAATAATAAATGTTTTATTTGCGGTTAATTTTCTCATTGGGTTTGTTTTACATTCGTGTCTGTTTCACTTCCCATTTGCCTTTTTTTAACAAAGAAAATTATTCACGCAAATATTTGATTCGGTGAGATTGATTCTCATTTGCAATTGTATGCATCATCCATTGACAAAAATCGAACTAAAACTTATGGTGCACTTTTTATTTATGTTCTGATATTTTGAAAATGCACAACACCAAACAACAAACATAATGAAAGAAATAAAAATGATTTATATAAAATGACATTGATAAACTACGAATACACATTTGTTTAAATTGTATCGAATTCCACTTATACAATTGCAATTGTTTATTTTAATTGGGTCTGTTTCGAGGACGATGCGCACACAAATTCATCGATAGTTTAAGAATAGTTTGTAAAGTGGGCAGAGTATAGTAGAACGGGATCAGTATTGAACCCGGTGTAATTGCGGACCCAAGATATCGTTAAAAGGAAACCCATTTTTAAAACCATTTTAGATGTGCCATATTTCGAAGAAGTCGGTTAATTACTGAAAAAGCTATGGAATGAGCCTTTTGAGTCATAAATTTGATCCACCTGGCCTGTAGTTAGAATGTATAGTTTTTTTTTTGTTTACATAGAACAAGTGGTGATTGGTGCTATAGTGATCAAGATATTTCATTTGCACATCCATTACGTGGGGCTGTAGTTTTTCTAATGAAATTTGAAATTGCTTGCAAGGGTACATTAAAATCATAGACGCGCCCACGTTCTCTCTCACAGAGATAAATCAAAGTAGGATTAACTATATTAACTACGGACGCTTTTTTTCCTAATTAAATGATAAATGAATTTCTGTAATTTTTTGTTTTGTATTGCTGTTGTGTACACAGAGAAACTGATGGCAATAGAAAAAGATAGAATATGGATACCAAAATCAAACAATTTGATGACAATTAAAATCGTTATTGGAAAATGAAAACAAAGCAACAAATATATATCACAGCAATTAATCATAATCATAATCGAAAGATAAAAACTAGATGTCACACATTTTTCGTTTCGTTCTGTCGGAAGTGCATTTTGCATAGTTGTTTCCCATTCGCATTACAAGTTTTATATTTATACAAATACAACAAAGAACAGTGATTTTAACATCAAAAACAAACACACGCACAAACTGTTTGCAGAGTTCAAATAGTTATTTGAAAGAGCAGCGGATATCTTAACATTTACAAATAATGAAAAAGTATGTGTGTGTATGTGTGTGTGTATGTGAGCTCGCCCTCGAATACTTGTGCACGAATATACTCAATTCAACTACGTGAAGCTAGACATTTTATTCTGGCTCAATGTGCGGATAGAATAGAGAGAGAGAGAAAGAGAGATAGATAGAGAGCGCTCAAAAATATGTGAATAGATTTTTCATTTTGGATAGCATGAGTATTCGATTCATTATTCGATGCGAGCACACCAAAATGTACAATACATTGTCGATCTGCATTAAGTCAAAGACGGATAATAGAATCGAAATATAAACCGGCTATGTGTTGCGAATGTATTTGACGCTGTTCAAGTGAAAAATTAATTTAAAACTTCCCCAGGGATTCGTGGTATCATCACAATTATATTATACGCTTACATTTAATGCAAATCATTTGATACACATCATCTAACTTGTGTGTTTGTTTGTGAAAGTTTTTTTTTTGTCTATTACTTTCAAAATAAATTTAGCTTTTTGTATTGTTCGTGAATGTATTTTTTTGTTCATTTTTTTTTTTTGGTTCAAAATGTGGTTGCGTATATGCTGATTCATCCGCAAATGAAAAGAACAATGCGTTGGATATTTCACTTGTGGAAACTTACTCAGTGGCTTGCGCGAATGGCATGCCAATAAAGGACGGACTTAACGTTTCCGTATACATTTCCATGCCGGAGCCGCGCAGATACTCATTTGTCCACATTTGCATGTCCGGTGACTAAATATTATAATTAATACAATAGTTTGATATTTCGGTTGTGGAACAGAACGTGATTTTTTTGGTGTTTATTTTCAATTTTGCTACTCAAAATGGCGGACATTTGAATAAAACAGAAAACTAATAATTTTGTTGTTGTTTGTTCTTTTTTTTTTGTCGCATTCGATTAATTTTGTTGATGCTGCTTCCCATGCGAATGAAAATAGCATCCCGCCGCTAAATCACATCACTCATTTAGATACATTGCACATGGATTTGAATAGAAAGTCCAGCCGAGTTATTGATGACCTTATCATTGCTTTTTAATACGTATCAACAAAAAATTCACTTTCTCCGCATTCATTCACACTTAATCGCTTGAACTTTTTATCGAAATTCATGTGCATCGCATAAATATTTACTAAACAAGAGAAAAAAGTACTAAGATAATCTAAAAATTAAATGTTAATGTCAAACGATGTAATTTAATAAACTAGATAAACTAACTGCATTACCAAATGAGAGTTTTTTTTTTGTCACTTTTGCACATATTATTCCTCACGACGAAAAACAAAAACGAATTATTCCATCAACGTTATTACTTTATGCCTTTAATTATTATTTCAATTGAAAAAAAGTATTGATTTCTCTTTGATTTTATTTCGACTAGATCAATATTGTCGGTTTGTTGTTTGAATAAAATGTTGGTTAATTTATTTTTAAACGTATGGAAAAACTGAATGGATGACTTACAGTTTTGAATGATCTCATTGCAAATAAGTTGGCCATCATGGTTGAAAAACCAGGTGCTAGGCAACTTTGTGCGATGAAGCCCAATTTCAGTTCAGCCAAGCATATCACATCGTCTCCTTGCTTCCAATCCCACGATGGGATATTTAATAAATAAGCCTGCAAATGCAAGTTAAAATAACACACATTGCTTGTAGATAACGGTAACATACCGTTGATTTTAGATCGAATGATCGTACCTTATTATGATATTGCATCAATTGAATGATAACTCGAATGTCATCGCTGTAATTTTTTATCGAAATAACTCGCATAATATTGGCAGCATCTTCAGCATCCGGATCTTGACAATATTTATTGGCTAAAACTAAACAGGCATCAGCTTCGTGTACCTAATCATTTATTCGAAAATTGAAATAGAAAAGAAAATACCGATCAATTCGACTCTGCGCATTTTCCAGAAGCCACAACAAAAGCTCAATAAACAATTGTTTAAATTCATTGAATACATCTTTTTAACACTCTATTTTTTTCATTTTTCGTGATCACTTTTATTTCGGCATGCTCAAACCGTACATTGTGCAAATCTGTACACAGATCAAGAAAAAAATTAGTATATGAGTGTAAAAAGATGCCCAACAACAAAAGCTATAATGTTTAATGCATTTTTTTTAATAGTTAAAAACATTTTCGAATTTGATCTCATGTTTTAATGATGAACTTTTTCTTGATTTCTTCCAGTATCATGTGTGTTTACAATTGTCAAAACAAAAATATAGAGACAATAAAATGAAGTAGTCATAACATGTGTTGAGAAGATGCTAAAAGCTAAGTTAACGGAATTAAAATGCATGTGAACATTGGAACCATGATATTTATCACAGACTTTTGATTAATCTAAATGAAATTCTTTCTATAACAATTTTCGTATTCACTGAATGTAGCTTATTGCCATTCATTTCACATACAGTCGTTTCCAGTAGCCGAAATTGAACAATCACATTCGCATAAAAATGATATCAAATTAATACTAATAATTTATCAAACTACATAGCATTCAATCATTTTAAAGATATGAGATAAACATGCACTTTTGTGTTCATTAGCTTTTGGTATATACAGTTGGTGAACATCGATTCTAAACGAAAAATTATTCAGCTATTTTAATTTGATTTATTGTCGACTATGCAGCATCTATGTACATGAATCTTTTGCGTCCGTTTTTTTCTTCTTTCATATGAAGAAAAGAGATTAACGGTATTGGATTTTTTTTGGGTTAGGTAGTTACGAAAGAGAGACAAACATCGATTATGTTGAATTTTATTTATGTATTCGAAAAAGTAGATTTCATTGGAATTTTGTGCCACCCTTTGGAATTTGGAATATTGGTCTCTTTTCGCATTTATGAATAAATAAATGAAAAAAAAAAAATGAAAATGCTTTCTGTATTTAAATGCTATAGGTATCAAAAAAGTTGGCGATTGCTATTAAGTTAAGCGAAGATAAATATAGGAAAGAAACAGAATGAAATTGGAGGAATTCCTACGAAAGAAGACTATTCGCAGATAAGAAATATGACTTTGACGGGCTTACCAAAAATCGGTGTACATTTTTCTTATTTTTTTCTTATACATTTGCTTATTACATCTATTTTCTATAGCACTCATCTGGAGGCAGGTACTTCAACTTATAAATAAAATAATAATGATAATCACATAAAAAAGGGTTGATTTATCACATCTAAATCGTGCTTGAGAATTGTGGTGGCTATGCCAAAGAAAACATTTCACAGATATTTTCAGGTGACACTAAACGGAATCGGTACACAACCGAATTGGTTTTGCTTGGTTTATTATTTTTTTTGTTTGTTTACATGTTGGACTTCCACTATATTCACTAGAGTTGAAAGGGATCCGCACAGAAAACAGCGGTGAACGAATTGAATTTTTCAAAAATGCAAGTGTGATGGTTTGTTAGTTATTCATTTTCATACTTATTGAGTTTTTAAATAAACAAACAAATGATGAATACAACAATCCGCAGACTGGCTCTTTTTTTATTGTTTTATTCATTAGAATACCACAAAATGTCCATAAGCATAACTAAATTATACACACAAACGCACACAACAAAAGACAGTTGTTGAACAAAACATAACAAATGATACATGAATTAAAAGTAATTCAACTGAAAACAAATTTAAGCGATTCAAAAATGAAACCATTATAGTCGTAATATTAATTTATTAATGAAATAAAAATGCACAGCTAGGGTGTTTATCATATTTACAATTTTAAATAAAAATGGTATTTATCGATTTAAAGTAGAAAAAATTCAATGTCAATTGGTGGCATTCAAACGGCACATCGATCGAGACTTTCCGAAGCAAAAAATAAATTTGAATATGAAACTCTCTTTTGATGTGAATATTTTTTGGTTAAAAGTGTCTCTTCTTTTGAGTTTTATTCTGTTCTGTTCGAAGATTTTGTGTCTAAGGTGTAATCATACAAGAAAAACTAGTAACAAAACGCGGCTCTCGGTGTGGACAAGGATGACAAATCTGTCGAGTCCGAACGATAAAGTAGTTTTCTATTAATAAGTAATTGAAATATAAAAGTAACGCTGTATGAATATGCCATTAATTGACATTAAATATTTACAATGACAAAATCCATTTTTTTAATTTGCAAATACGGGAAACACCCTATAATGTAAAGATAAACATTGTCAAACAAGTCAAACAATTTTGAACATTTATCTTTAAAGAGACTTTATGTATATCCCATACAATTGACTTATTTTCGATCAGCTGCAAATCATCTGTCTGAATATATTGGCTATTCATATGAGACTCCAATAGAAAATTTGTGTCTTCACACTGAAAATGTAATTGTATGGTTTTTCTTTTTCAAGTAAAGTGAGGCACACAAAAATGTGAAGACTCATATCCAAAAAAACACAAGTAATTACTTTCATGTGGAGATATAAATCGTCTGAATGATTCTCATATATCAAATTTAAAGATTTGCTCAAAATTTTAATGTTATTTTAATCTAAATTACTTTCCATTGACTGTTTTAAAACAAAAGAAGAGCCACATACACACATTGATTAATATCTAAACGGAAACAAAAATTAACAAATTGAACTGAAAATACTATGGATAAAAGAACACACAAACAATTCATAAGTTACAAACATCATTTCAAATGGAACAAAAAAATAACCAAAGAAAAACGTTATTTGGGTGCCACAAAAATTGCAGATTTTTATTGAAAATCTCTTGAATTTTATCAAGTTGTTTTTTTTTTGTTGTTGTATAAAAACTGGAATACGTAAATAATACAAAAAAAATCCTAGCATTTCGATAAAATTAGCATGTTCTTTTTGCTGTGTAAATTTCATTTTCAGGTTATTGTTTTATTAAATTGTGTGTTACACAATCTTTGGATTCAAAACAAAAAAATTTGAAAATATGACAAACATACGTTTGATTAGCTTTATTTGGTTTGTACAATTAAAAAAAAAAAGAACATCAATAGCACCATTTTATATAAAAATGGCTTTACCTTAACGCGTTGCAGATCGATGGGATTCATAATAGTTCCTTGGAAAAACTCCACCGTTGTAAAATGACGTTTAAATAGCCCTTCTAATTCCAAGTCAGGAGGTTTACTGATTTTGTTTACAACAGAATTGTATCGAATGGATTTTTTTTTTTTTATGTTGGGACATTTTGTTTTTTTATCGACCATTTTAATTTTGTGTCGATCGTTTGCAATTGTTTTTGTTGCGAGAATTGTGTTTTAATTTATCGAATGAATGATCGGTTTTGAATTATGGAGAAAATTTTGTTTTGCATTTGTTTGTTTCAATTGAGTCGCGATGAGCAGAACAGTTGAGTGTGTGTAAATATTTGTGTGATTTTATATTTTTAAAATATAAAAAAGAAGAAAAATAAGTGCGAAAAATAAATAAAATATTAAATAATGTGATATTTTTTGGTAGTTGTTGTATGCTGTAAATCGATTAGATCATAAATTAAAGGGAATTTCTTGTGAATAAGGAGGAATATTGCTTTTGGCTTTTTTTTGTAGGCGGGAACACTTATCAACTAAACATTTCTGTTGCTGAATTAATACAATTTTTGTTCATCCCTAATGAATCAAAAGAATCAAATCGCTGCAAATAAATCCATTCCAAGAAGTGCGTATTTTGTATATCGATGGTTCAACAGCTGTGTCTTACTTTAGAAAAAAGATTGGTGTCAATAGTTTGGTTTTTTCTTTCTTTTAAATGAACAATGGATGAGATGGTAATTTTTAAAATAAAATCATTAAGTCATAAAAACCCGATTGAAAATAGGTGATAAAAGATAGTGCTTTGAAGACAAATGGTATCTTGCATCATTTTCTTACATGCGTTCAAAAAACTATTTTATTTAAAAAAAAAAACTGGTTTTTCTTTTGTTTGGCTGAGTTCAGGTGGAGATGATTTGAACTGTACAAAACTGATTTTTTTGTTGTTCAAAAAGGCGTTTTTTTTAAATAAACCAAATCCACTATGTACAATAATGTGGCAATCTGGCTATTTAGTTATCAATCTCAACTGAAGATCGTCAAGATAAATTTGTTTATAAACTGAGTTGAAACTAATGAAGCGGTTAAATAAAATGTTATCGCCATAATATTCTAAATTACATATTCCGAAAAATGTAAGAAAAATTAAAACGATCTAAATATTATCCTTCCTAAAACAAAAAACACGACACTATTGAAAATAGTAATTATAATTGTAAAATGTAATTATTGTAACAAATAGATAATGAAGAAGAAAATCAAATCACATAAACATATTTTACGGATAAATATATAAAGTATATATATATAGTTTTTGTTGATTTTTTGTAATAAACAATTCTACCCTAAACTAATTTATGGAACAAAAAGTCAACGAAATTATATTGAGGAAATGCTGAAACAATGATTTGGCTGCGACCGCATTTCTCAATCTTTTTAAGTTATCAGTGTTGTTCGCGACCGCAGAGTATCAAGAAAATTTCAAATTTAAACTTCGAGTTGTAACGGTAAAACGGCTTCGATTTTCGATATATTCATCGGTTGAGCGCACAAATTGATTGCACAGACATGATTCGAGAGCAAAACTTCAATTTAATATTAACAGTGTCAGTATTTCCCTAATATATATTATGTTGCAAATATTGATATAAAAATACGAAAATGGCAAGAGCTCGAAAGATTGACACACGAGAATAGTTAAATCAATATTTCATTCAAATAATATACAACATAGAGAGCGAGCGTTCGTGAGCAATCAAATATAAATATCGTTGTTACTAACAGTAATATGCATAATGGTCGAATGCGATGTGAGATAGATTTATGGATTGAATGGCCAAGAACTGAATCGTTTTAAAAACAAAAGTTGATTTGGTCGAAAGCAATAGAACTGTATTATCAATTTGAATCGGAAATGGAAAAACCAAAATTAAAAATAAAAGAAAAATAAACAGAGAAGAATATATGCAAATTGGGAAAATCGAATAAGTTGCTTGAAAATTGCGCACAGTTTGAAATATTCGAACGCATTAAATAAAAGTAGTGTAATGTGAAAAGTTGAAATGATTGTGATATAAAGTTAAAAGTTGAATATATAGAAAAATATTGGTTGTCTCTGGTCTGGTCTGGGTTGTATTTTTTTTTGTTATTGTTTGTATGGTGGTAGTTGTTGTAGTTTACTTCGTTCAAACCAATTATGTACTGAAGATTATTTTGTTTGTTTATATAATGTTGTTGTGTGTTGAGCGAATATGTTTTTGTTTTTTGACATATAGAGAAAGAGAGATCGTTTTGAGTTGGTTGATTTTAAATACCTTGACTCGTTCCAAATCGACTGCATTCATCATTGTTCCCTGAAAAAACTCCACTGTCGTGTAATGACGCTTCAATAGACCTTCTAGTTCCAGATCAGGCTCCTTGCTACAGTTGCGCGATGTATGATTCATTTTACGGTGTTATTTATCAAGATGAATATGTCATATATGCGATTTGTTTCGCATATCGTTTTACGTAAAACGTCGATCGTATTTTGTTTTATAACTCAGGTGTGCAAATTTTTTTTTCGTTTTGAATTGGAGGGATTCATTTGTTTGATTCATTTATTGAAAATGTAGACATTTATTGTTCTAACTCATGAAATTATTTTAAAATATCTACCAGCCTAAGGGAATATGGTTTTGGAAGGGATAGTGGACCAGGAGGATGGGATGCTTTGGGTAGGTTACTTCATTGCTATTAAAAATTGAGCTATTTTTCTTTGGTAGAATTTTCGTTTCAAACAGTAAACTTGGAAGAATTTAATTTATCTCAATTTTTTTTATTGACATGACAATAACAACGAAAAAGAGCTCAAAATCATCTAACAAATGATAGTGTCTATTCATTTACCACGTATGTTTATGAAAGGCATTTCGTAAAGAATCTTACCGATGTAAAAATACAACTTCAACGTCAACATCTTCACGATCCTCGTGCAAAAAATCCTTGAGAAAATGTGACACCGACTCGTAGGTTATGTGACCGCATACGACAATATGTCTACGAACGTTGGTTGATGGTCCAATTTGGTTTTAGTTTGTGCGCACATTGAATGTGTGTGTGTGATTTTGTTTTCAAACATGTGAAAGCACACATTGGAAAAAACATTGATACGCACACAATGCATGACGACGATATATCGGGTGGGTTGATTGGTTTTTTTTGTTGTTGTTGCGAGTAAAAGAGAATTATTTTTATTAGAATTTCAAAATGGAAATATTTGAAATGGTTTTACTTAAAAACTAATATGTGCAAAAATGTATGAAATTCTCCAAAATTTTCATAACGATGCAATTCCTCAATTAAATTGGCATACAAGCATAATTTTAATGAAAAAAAAAAGTTTAGTTTGAATTCTGGAAAATTTCATGCATTTTCACTGTTCGCTGCTTTTCGTTTCGATTTTATATTGAAATTTATATGCGGCATGACAAAATCAAACATTTATAGATTTGTTTATCTGGTCAATTGAATAATAGCGACTACTTGAGTTTCATTTGAATTTTTTTTTGTTTGGGTTCAAATTCGTGTGAAATGTGTGTATGTGTTCAAATTCGTGTATGTGTTCTAAAAATTGGATGTCGTTCGGTTATTTCAAACATAAAGTTGACAAAAAAATGTTTTTTTTTTTATTAAATAAAAAGTGGAAAATAAATCGTGTGTATTGTTGTTATTATTGGGGTGTATTAATTTGGCTTTTCATTTTGGAAAAAAAATGGAAAATGATTTTTTGAATGTTTTTTTTTCGATTGTTTTTTTTTTTCAAACATTTTTTTTTTCGATTGTTGTTAGTTTGTTTTATGAAACTAATCGAGAAACAAAAAGAAATCTTTCAAAAAATGCATACAATATCATTCGCTTGAGTTAAAAAACACTATTTCTTTTTATAAAGCTCATTAATACAGCTCTATTCGTTTCATAATAAAGAATATCTAATCCAAAAATTGAGATTTAAAAAGAGTGAATATGTGACAGGCATACAATAGTAAAACTACTAATGCATACAGAGCTGTACTGAATAAATCAATAGTGGAAAGTGAACAACTACAGTAATCAATCAACAATTACAAGAGATAATTTAAAACAAAAATTATCAAGCTAATTTCTAAAAGATACAAATGGTGTGCGAAAAATTGCAGACATTTCTTTGTGTGGAACGGGACATTTCCAATTTGATGCGCATGTGATTAGTACCATTTTGTGTGTTATTTTATTTTCCCATTTATATCCTTGTTGAGAGAAATGCGAGCAAAATTCCATTTTTTTAAATTATTTTTTAATTTAGGTGTTCTAGAATTGACTAATTTGGAAATGTGAAATGCGTGCGTTCCTAGGTGGTGCTGCGGCGGCTGCTATTCAATTCTGGTTACTTAGCCATTTGATTGCATATTATGAAGCGTTTCAAGCCTTCGAAAAATATTCACAATTCCTTTTTTGACACAAATTCTCATCATTGCTTGTTTTTTTTAAACTCCCGCGGGTTTGTTTCTCTTTCTTTTAATAGCCGATTTATGGTTCCAATTTAAAAAAATATATATATCTGATTCAAACTATGTGAATAAAGTTTCTTTAATATTCAAACAAATAAAGTGCATTTTGTAGAATCGTTGTTAAAACAAATGCTTGAAAAGAAGTTTTTTTTGTATGTGTGTGTGTTTTGGTTTTGAAAATGAAATGAAACAGGAACGGAACCATAAATGTAAATGAATGAGTTAAATAGATAGAAAAAATATTTGAGAGACAACTCACTATATACTTTGTGGATAATCGTCATTACATTTATTTAAATCAACTCATTTTAATTTCACATCATTCAAAATATAACCCACACATTTATTTTTTTTAATTCAATTTCTTTCTCTCATTCTCTCACTTTGGACAAAATCACCTGTAAAATTGCAACCATATAAAATATTCAGCATATCAGACATGTCGAAATGTATTCGGTTTTGTAGTTGTTGTTTTTCATCATATTTAATGTTTGTAGTGTTTTTTTTTTTAAATTAAATGAAAATATGATTTGATGGTATGTGTAGATATTATACATTTTTCAAAGTAAGAATAGTTTGGTTTGTATAATAAACGGTGATCGTCAGGAATATATGTATGTGTGTTAAGTTTTGATGAAAATTTCCGGTCGAAATTCGAATTTTTTTTTAATGGAAATTAAATGGTTCAAACATAAAAGAGTACCGAACGAAATGTGAATTATATTTGGAATTGTGATATAGACCAAAAGGATAAACATTTGACGGATATGCAACGGTTGACGGTATTTGCCGGAGCTTCATTTCTATTTTAGTTAAACAAAAATGTACGTGTGATTAAAGCATATGATGAGAACAAAAGGTATGCGATTCATTCAAATTTTTATGTCGTTTGTATTTTGCTTTCTAAGTAGCAATTGTACTTCAAATATACACATGTGTTTTTTTAAATTTCATTGATTAACTATATACGGGATCAATTAGTGTAAATATTTGCACTAAATATCTTCGCTAAATCGTGGGATTTTTGTGGTAGCAATCAACTACGATTAAATGCCTTGCCACGCATTAACTAATCAAATATAAAAACACATATATTTCCTAATTTTCATCCTACGATATTGAGTTTTTGGTTATGATTTTTTTCTCGCTCAACAAAATGTCGACTGTTATTTAAATATAAACATCTAATTGGTTTCATTAGATAGTTACTATAAATATATTATATACATAACAAATGAACTAATAGACAGAAATACACAACAATTTGTTCGGTTGAAATGTTTGAGATGTGCTATTCGCATTGTTGCATCGAAAACAAGACAACATAAATCATTTATTACATGAGATTCAACTAATACGTCAGACAGAAAATGGATACACTTGGAAATAAAATGGAAAATACAACTATGATCAATTTTACTTTTTCATGTTCTTTCTTTTTCGTTGTGTTTCGTGTCACACATTCAATTTGAAATCTTTCTAAAAAAAAAATTGGTACAAGAATAAAAAATAAATAAAATATGTGCGTTCATTTGTCCCACATGAAATCATTCCATATTTCAAAAATGTCTTCATTTTGATCATTATTTTATTAACCCTTGTTTTAGTATAGTCAAAATATAGTGGAATAATATCTTTTTTTTTTTGTCAAAAATCACCGTACGCATCACTTATTGAAAACAAAAATCGTTCTCGTTTATACAAGACTCGTTCCGACATAATTAACTAGTATATTCTGACAATAATAAATAGTACAGAATTAAATTTAGTTTCAGTGCAATAAATCTATATTATTATATATAAAACCCATTTGGTGAGTACCAAATAAAATTTAAACCAAAGAAATTATGATGTTGAGTCAACAAATATTATATATGTGAGAGAAATAGAGAGAGATATTACAATATACAATGCAAATCAAACTAATAGAGTCAGAGTAAAATTGAAAATATTGCAAACATTTCTTGTGGTTATTAATTTCAAAACATCTCAGACCATCTGAAATGATGTTAAAATTGATTCAGTAGAGAAAGGAAATGTTTAAACTTTTTCCGAAGAAATCAACAAGCTCAAAGCTAGGCTCGAAGTGGTCGTGAATGGAAAACATTCAAAAAATGTAGAACATGTGGTTGAAGACATGGTTTTTTTTTCATTTCGCAAGAAATTGACCATGTTTTCTATCGTACATTGAACAACTTTCCACCGCAGGCTTATATTTTTGTAGACACATTTTTTTAATGTCATTATAACCAGTATTTCCAAATGGTTCATGGCATACATGGGCACGGAAAAAATGTAAGGGGGCACCCCCTGTGCCCATGTATGGTTCATGGGACAGAACCAATGCTGTAATTTAATGAGCATAAGGTGGGTATTTCATTTGATTCGATTTGGGTTTCTCTGTAAGTGTTTGCATATGCGTGAGGTGCGATTGGAATAATTAGAAAAATAAATGGATGTCCAAATGACAATCTATTTATCGTCTTTTACATTGTTGAAGTAAAATCAATAAAATAGGAATGTATGAAATGCCCATATGGCTGAAATTAGCATTTCTTTATCGATTTGGCCGGTTTTTGTTTAGGTATGAAATGTTGTTTACAAGAAACGATCCTTTATCCGGTTTTATTTATGCCTTTATCCGGAAATGTGGGGTGTGCTTTATTAAATACGTGCTCCTTTTTATTACACTTTGAAACGGAATCCATTTTTTTTTTTTTTGCATTTCATGTTTCGTTCAATAACGTATCGGATACAAATGCATCAAATAGATAGAGATCTTGTGCAAAAAAAAAGAAAAAAATCCAAATTAAATCAATTTCAATGGTTGTTGAATCTGGCAGAAAAATTGACAAACAAATAACGATGACAACGACTTTAAACATTATTTGACAAATGTGACAAAGTTCGATGAATGACCACTAATCTTTTGGGGACGAAAAACGTCATGTTGCTCATTATGAAAAAAATTATCAAAGAATGAATAGAGAAAAAAGAAGATATAAAATAACTCAAAAGCTGGTGATTTAAACTCGAGCACTCACCAGCTTTCGAATTGTATTGTGTATTTTTTTTTCTCACCAAAATTGAATTTTTATTTTATTTTTAAATGTACTGTGACATCATTTTCATATCTGATTGTGTATTGGATCATATGTTTGTCTTCGTGATGTTCATATTGATTTTACATTATTCGATATGATGAAGTTGGTTATCTAAATTTAATGAACAACACTAGAAATTAAGCGATCGAAAGCCAAATGTGTAAAATGCATATATAAGAAATGTTTGTTTTGTTAATTATCCATGATTTGAGTTAGGAATGACGACGATACACTGTCATTTTAAGTGAAATTATGCATCTGCATCTGTGTATGTCATCGTAGTGTTACTACTTGCCATATACACTGCAAAACAGAGTGTCACTGTTAGCAGATGTACATAAATTGATTTTTCATCATGCTTTCACTTTACAAACATGCACAAAACGTACATATGCAAATGCACATATAAATTCGAACGCTTGAGAATATATTTCGAACTGTATTTGAGTGCAAACGAGAAAAAATGTCGAACGCTTAATTTTCCTTGTACTCAAATAATGTTCTGAATGTTATTCTGAAGCGTTCATTTGATCGATCGTTTAATATGGTTGTCATTTGATTTGAACAGTGTGCGCACACATTCAGTGGTGCTGTTTTGTTTGATTTATATTGATTCAAAGTCGATTCGCTATTTTGACAATTGGTAGTGTTACAACAATCCAATATAAGCAAGATGAACCAAATCAAAGAGTACTCAATTGAAATTTACAAATGTTATGTGTAAACATTCGTAATTTTTCAATACGGAATCAGGCCAATCAGTGTGAGAGTGTGAATGAGAATAAGTCGTGACACTCATTCAGGTCGTTAAATTTCGTTTGCTGATGTTTATTTTTCCCTTTGATAACGCATCTTATGACGACGCATTCATTAAATGGATTCGAATTAGACGCGCGTACAAAAGAATTGATGCAAATAGTCAGATAAACAACATATAAAAGAATACATATATGCAAACATGAAGTAAATATAGATTATACAACGTGCATTATATTGTATCGATCAACTGAACATTTTTCAATCAAACTTATGTATGATTATGTTCTATGGATCAATATAATAGTATACACCTTATATATCACATGTTAAATAAGCAGCATGAAGAGGGATATGTAAATACACGAATGTCAAACAAAAGGATATTTTATGCTGAATAAAAACATTTTATAGTCCGAAATGAAAGACACACATTTTGGGTGCTTTTTTCATTTCAAATAGTATGAAATGTCAATATTTGGCAAATCAAAATTATATTTAATACTTTGATCTACTTAGATGTAGTATAATATGGAATGCATAATAATGATTAAAAGGAAATTTTTAATTCAAAGAAAAATTAGGAATTTCAAGATATATGAGGGTTTATGGAACCATGAAATATATTATATTCGTTACATGAAATGTCATCGATTTTTTTTTTTTTTGTTATTGGCTTGGAAGGCAAATGGTACATACGAATAAAAATAGTCAATATAGGCGCTTTAATCACTTTGCATAACATTCAGATGAGTCGGAGATGGTCGGAGATATCCCATTTTAATTTAAAATGATTGCATATTTAAATTTCAGATAAATGATTTATATATAATTTGCAAAACAATTAAATCGATGTAATACACATTATTGGAAGAAAAATGTACAAAGTATAAGACATATGCAATAGATTTTCCACGTTCCGGTAAACACGAAATAGATAAAGTTAGTATTAGAAATCGTATGAAATCAAACGAATTGAGCAAAGGATACCGAAAAATTATGTCAAAAAGCGTGCAATAACAATATTTCGGAAAGGGTTTATTTTTATTCAATTAATATTTGATATATGCATTACGAAAAAAAAAGTCACATAAAATTCGTTTTTGCGATTAATGCGATTTAAATATATAATATCCATATATTTAATGCAAACTGGCTCCATACCAAATATTTTTAATTTCTTTACTTGTATTTACGTCTACAAAATAAATATTCTCCATTCGTTTGGTGTGCCGGTTGAAAACATAGGAGTTGGACGCCATCCAATTTAGATTTCAATTTATTGACTTTAGATTCTCGTTTGATTTTCATTTTTATTCACATTTAATATGAACTCTGGTGGTGTCGAATCCAAATGTTTGGCCGAAATTGGCCATAAAATGACAAGAAACGAAGACGACGATGCAGATCATATGAGAGATTTGTCTGGAATTTATTTCTCACTTGCAATATATAGATTTTATGTAAAACATTTCTAATCGCATCGAAATTGTCGAAGATTTTACAGAGTACAGTGTAGTTTGTTATTTAATTTATTTTATTTCGTTGTGATATTACGGAAAAAAAATGAGAATTGAGTCAGGCTAAACATACACATTGACATCAAGATACACAGTATAGTACGTCATATAGAATTCATAGACAATTTTATCGCCTTCCAAACCAGCCAACGATACTTCCTTATAAAAAAATAAGTTGGAAGCAAAAATAGAAATTTCACATGCGTTGGGGCAATGTTTTCAATTTTCATTAAGTTGTGAAAAAATGAAAGCTTTTCCAGTATCCTATCGTTTGTTTGTTTAGAAAGCGTCAAAATCATCTCTGTACACTTTGGCAACGTTGTTTGTTGAGATTTTTTTTGTTTTAAATTGAAAGTATCCACTACTTTTGCGTATGTCGAACGGAATGAAGTCAGGACGATGTATTTTTTCTTTTGAATCGTTCACACATTCATTTCACATATGACAAAAGCGACGGAACTTTTTGAAACTAAAGATAGAAAGCACGACATAAATTAAACGAATTTTGGCAATTAAATGGATTGTACAATATATAGATTAGAGATATTGAGGTAGGCGGAAAAAAACATAACACAAAATAGTAAACATCCAATTTGGTGTACAAAAATCAATTCGCATGACACAAAAACCAAAATCTCGAGAGAAAGAAAAAAATTATTGAATGAACCAAAACTCAAAATAACGGAATGTTTACAAACACACTTAAATCAATGTGATTCACAAACAAGGAATGCTTCTTTACAGAACATCAACTATTCGGTTTTTATTTTGTATTGCTTCATTTTTTTGCTCTATATTATATGTTTTATTCTTTTCGCTTTCTTCGACCATTATTGCCAGTTTGATTTTAATTGTTGTTGTTGTTGTTGTTGGGACTTTACTGTAGCTTTTTTTATGTTTTTTTTTTTTGTTGAAGAGGTGTATGTATGGTGAAGAAATTTGAACCGAATGAAATGTATGCAAAGCAGTCTCAATTTGTTTTTCGTGTATTACATTTGTGCGTGTATTTGGGGATGTTGTTTATGTATATTTTGATGCACAAAAGTCAATATCGAAATTTTCATACGTTTGAACGACATTCGCGTGATAATAACACGTTTTTGTTGGTTTGATTTTGGCAATGAAATTCGAATGAAAAAAAGAAAGGTCCTTGGCGTGACCTATTGGACAATTATGTTTTTCGGAGCTTATTAACATTATGCGAACGATGATTCCACATAATGGTCAACATAAAACTTGTGTGAAAATCGAAATACTGACTTTTGCGCAAAATATATGTGATAAGCCAAGGAAATGATGGATTTGTTATTTATGTATTTGATGTTTTGTTGTTTTTGAGGAAAATTATGAAATGAACGACCAAACCAAAAACAAAATAAATAAATAAATAATAATGACTATTATAGTATGAGGTTGAACGCATGATGTGTTTTTAAAAAAATAAAATGGGCATTTGTTGATGTTATTTTGATGTATTTTTTTAAATATAAAATTAATTAATTGGATTGGTTTTTGTTGGATTTGTTTTTTTTTTGCTTGTTTTAATTTTTGGCTTTGCTCTCACCTTCGACCTTTTTCGTTCTTCAATGTTCCCCCATATTTGGGTCTAGTTCCAATCAAGTCTATTATCTCTGGTATACAACTTGCGAATATTGCCTGAGACACACACACAAGAGCAACACATTAACAGGATGAGGAGATAACGATTAATTTTTAATTAAATAAATTAAAGGATAATTTGGTTTTAGTAATAATTTGTCATCAATTAATTGGAATTTTGTACGATTGTTGTTGTTTGTTGGTTGTTTTTGCTAATTAAAATTAAATAAACACAAACTTAACGAAAACAGAGGAGAAACATTAAATTCAAATGCAGAACCAATGCAGAAATTATCAATCACGAATAAAAAATGATAATTCTATTTTGTTCGTTTTTTTTTTACAGTTAAAAATGATCAATTTTAAATGAAGATTTTTTTGGTAACTGTTTTAAAATAATAATTAAGATAATTTGTTAAGAACATTGTTCATTCAAAGGATCGATAAGTGCGTTATATGTTGATAAAAGTTTAGCAAAAGCAATGTCTACATTTTTCACATGTCGATTGTGTTTTTAGTTGTCGAATTGTTTTTAACCTACAAAAAATGTTATTCATTGAACATTCAATTATTATACATTTTCATTTATAGAAATGAAAAAAAAAAACAAAAATGTGTATGTGAGAGAGAATAAATTGAATTGGATATGGAAGATTTTTTTGGTTTGATTCTTATGCGTGTAGTAGCAGTAGCATTTGTTGTTGTTGTTGATGATGGTTTCTTTTGTTGATTTTTCAATTTTGTTTTAAATATATGGTTGATTTATAATGATTAATTTTTTGTTATGTTAATTGAGGATTGTTGATTCTGAGGTCTACACGATCATTTTATTACAAGATAATTTCGTCTGCATTGTGCTCATCGACGGCTGACGGCTGTAAATCGTATCACTTAATTGCTATATTTATTGTTCATTTTGTTGTTGTTATCGTCCTATTTTAGCACCGGCTTTTTTTGTTGATTCACTATCATGTTAATCATATAACTAAGCATTTTCATTAAACGTCCATTCATATTTCATGCCTAAATGACTCATTGAATTGGTCATATTGTGTGTGTGTATGTTTGTTTGTTTTATATTTCATTTAAATAAATAGCATATCTATAAACTAATGCACATTACGAAAAATGGTTAATATTTTATGCTCATTTCAATAATAACATTTGCTGCAAATATTTCAGTTAAACTGTTATATAATTCGGGATGATAAATAACAGACGTAATTTTACTTAATTTAACCCCTTCTTATTTCATATTCATCAAACCGAGTGGCTTACGGCTCTTTTTTCTCTTTCAAATTCCTTTTTGTACATATGACGTAAGCATTCTTATATTTTATTTTATTTCAATACATTATTTACATGAATTAAAATGTTGTACCTTTGTTGCGCAACTATTTGTATGTATATATAAATTCCCAATAAACAGAGAAGTTGCTACAAAAATCTCATCAAAATAGAACATATAATATCCGACCAAAAAATGGGGGGTTGGGGGGTGAAACAGGGGTGAAAATCATTCGGATTTTATCGAGAGAAAGAGAGAGAGAGCGAGAAAAAACGAGAGAAAAAATAGCAATAAATTGAAACATAAAAACAAAAGAAGAATAGAGAAGAACTAAGAGATGAAATAAAATATAATATAAAAAAATCGCATTATGAGACATTACATAATGTTTTGTAGCGAGGTCACGCGTGCGTTCGCTTCCATCTGAATAATTGACGCTGCATTTTCCAGATTCTCACTCATTCATGTTCATTTTTCTCAATCACTTTTTTATTGGGTCACAATTACACCGAATCTATCGCAATAAATATTATTGGCAACTGCACAATATCGCTATGTGTGTGTTTTTGTGTGATATAATAAATAATGATGCGGTCATACACGGTATATATATATATAAACACACAATACGCACTGACTCAACTCATTCGAACTTTCTCTCTTGATTTTACTATCGTATATTACTTCCTCTCATACATACAAAATTCACTCTATTTGCACTTAGTAGATGCACTCTGGTTCCGGTAGCATTTTACACATACATTGCTCGGATACGCAATATGAAATGAATGGAAAAAAAACGCGAATAATTTTATGAATTTCATTGAATACCGTGCATTTATTTGCGAAAAAAAGGATTTTCATAAAAAAAAAATCTCGCACATTTACTGTGAAACGCATTTATTTTTTTAATTTTAACCCATCAAAATTGTTTAAGGCGTCGATTTCTTGGGACACTTGTGCTACTCAAAATTCACTTTCATCTTATTTCAAAGTACTATTGTTGTGAGAAAAAAGAGAGACAGAGAGAAAGATAGATTGAAAAAAATTGCATCGTAAAGTATTCGGCAATTTTTTTCTTAAATAATGTTGCATTGCATAGTGTTGATGGATAAATTTCTGTGCAGAGCACACTTTTTGAACAATTTCTTATAACAGATCAAGTTGCTGCTATTTTTATAATTGTTTTTCATATCACTAATTATAATAAACTCTACATATACGCGCAATAAATCCTTACGATTCTATATATTTACAATCCAGTGAGTACAATGTACAATTTTCATGATTTTTTTTTTGTTGTTGTTGTTGGTTATTGCTGTTTATTATTGTATTGGGTAAATGCGAAACGATTTTAAAGAAAATTACTTAGTTGTTATGGAAGTAAAAAGAAGAGAGAATAAAACGCAAAAATTAACACGGAGAGACAAATGATTATTGATTAAATGGCTGTATGTCCAATAGAAGAAATAAAGTTATAATAAAAATGTAAATTATTGATTCTAAGATGCGTGGCTGCGGCATTCAGGCTGTGCAAGCAATGATTCAAATATTAAATGTACAATATATAATATATATGTGTATAAAACTCACTACATTCCGGTCAAAATGTATATAAGAGCATTATTTATTAGTTTAGCTACATTTTAGCAGTTTTAAATTGATGAAGTAGTGGAAAAAAGGTATGTGTATGTGTGTGTGTGAGAGATAAATAGGTAGACAAAAAGACGATTTTAATTGGGATAGAAAATAGTTGGCGAAAAAAGATTTATGTGACGGACGACATGTGATAATGAATGAACAAACAAAAAGTTTTTCATCTTGTCTTTGAGTGTGTTCATCGGTGTTCATGTATAAAAGTTATATGTGCAATGTAAAATCGTAAGCAAATCATAAAGAAAAAACGAAAGAAAAAAAAATATTCGTTCTCATTTATTAGATTTTTGTTTTTGTTTCTAAACTGCCAATTAATTTAGCAAAGTTTGTGCTCTAATCGTTTTCGAAGGTGTTTTCATTATGATTTTTAGAATCGGATTACAATTTGTTAATGTGATCTAATTTAATGTAAAACAAAAACTATACAAAATCGCTTTAGCGTATTCCCATCACTAAAAACTGGAAAGGATACGCCTCGATCTGCGTATAACTAATAGTCACCACATCTAATTTTTTTTTGCTTTATTCACAACAAATTTTGACATATACATGTAATAAAAATCTCTGCAAAGCAGAACTATAGATTCAGTTTTCTAATTACAATCTAAAAATTGCCTCAAAACAATAATATGATGGTGTCTATGTGTGTTTCTCTTTATTTGGACTAGAAAATTATACGAAGCATTGAACAAAATTGCTGTATTTTTATTTATTGCTTTTAAAATTGAAATTCGAATTAAAGAAAGTAAATAAATGTCTGTTTATATTTAAGAAGTTAATTAATACGGACAAAAAAAAAGTCAGTGCAATTATTAAATATAATATGAATGCCAGAGAATAATAATTGTTGAACAATTATTTGAGCATAAGCAAAGAAGTTGGCGTTTGAATTCATCGCATGCAAAAACATCGAACTAAAAATGGTACGCACAAAAGAAATTACATTATTTCGTTACACCATTAGCGTTTGGCACTGGTAAATTTTACAATAAATTTTACAGTTTCTTTTACATTTACCATTTTAAGTGGGACGTTTTTTCGCCATTGCTACCACTCAAAATGAAGTTTTGTGTTTATTCTCAAGCATTCATTTATGTTTAAATGTTTGTTTTGTTTTCATTTCATTTGGTTTGGTTTGATTTTGATTTGTTGGATTCTTTTTTCAACCGAACACAAGTATGTATGCGAGTAATGAAATTGTGACGGGCAGGAAAAGGAAAAGAAGGAGTTACGTTTCAAAAAAGTAATGCAAACAAAATAGATTAAGTGTACAATAATATATTCAAGGCTAACCGTACTAATAATATGTTTGATTATTAAATTTACTTTCTTTCTTTTTTAAGAAAAAAAAAACCAACACGATTAAAAGTAACAAAAATGAAAATTATGAATGCTTTATATCGAACAATCGATGGCTTTGATTTACAAGCAAGTTCGAATGATTTGTGGGAACGAAAGACATTAAAAATTCGTGTCAATTCGAATTTGATGTGAAAATGTTAGTTTTCTTTTATTTTCATCGAATCTATTTTTATTTTTTGGTTTGCGGCATATTCCATTTTCTGTATTGGAATCGCACGGTGTCTGAATGTGATGATGTTGATGGATGATGTTGTTAATGATGATGTGATTGGTGTGCAATTGACTCGTGTGAGAAACGGAATCAAGTCTGTTTGATGTTAGCCAATGAATGTAAAAGAATCTGGTGTGAATGGTGCGTGTGTGCGTGTATATGTGTAATTGTGTTTTTTTTTTTCAACTAATTGAATCACGTTCAATTTTCAGCTTTGTTCTTCAATTGCTTTGTTTTTTTTATGTTCCTTTTTTGATTTTTTTCGTTAAATTAATTTGAATCACATCTGATTTTTTGTCATTGTGTCGCAATATTCATTGTTCAAAATATGAGGTTTTAAAAAAAAAACAATTTGTACATCCTAACTTGTTCGGTGGGATTGTAATAAAAGTTCTAGTAACTCAAATTCGTTAGAGTTTCGGATTATTTAGTTGTGTTCCGATTGAAAATAATAGTCTACAACTCAAGTGTTAAATAGGACTTCGAAAATTAGTAAAACGTAAATTGTTAGTACAAACATCAAAAAAAGCACTGCATCAA